CATAACAGGCAGCACTCATGCATCTACCCACATGACAGACAGCACTTCTGTATCTACCCACATGACAGACAGCACTTCTGTATCTACCCACATGACAGACAGCACTCCAGCATCTACCCACTATATATATGGTTATCTCACACACACACACACACACACACCATACGACGAACTTGTCCCACGATGTAGACGTACCTGATATTTGACAGTGTAAGAATCCAGCAGTCAGAATTAAAACTGACACAGTGGCTTCTTGTATTCGTTTCATGACCTGAAACTTTCATATTTAAAAAATATTAACTCACTATTTTCAAGATACATAATCTTTTATGAGCGTAATTTTTATTTAGGACACACTTGTCAGTTTAACCAGAATCATTTTTTTTGAAAGAAAGAATATATAGTTAAATTACTTTTACGCTTCAATAGCTTTTAAGTCGCCACCACCCATATTTACCACCCCTCCTCCCCAGTCCCGAGTCCCTGGGGCGGTGGGGTAGCCTAATGGTTAAAGCGTTGGCTCGTCACGCCGATGACCTGGGTTCGAATCCCCACATGGGCACAATGTGTGAAGCCCATTTCTGGTGTCTGGCTTATCATGTGAGACTATATGGCTTTCATGGAATGATCCGTCTATAAATGTGTACACAATATACTACCTGCCCAGAAAGAGGCGACTATAGTGTGAGCTGTCGTATGCATATTTGGTGAAAATCAACTTCTCACCTCTGATGTGTCTTGCCCTTTGCTGTACGTCTCAGATGGAAATTAACCACCCAGGTCACCATAACCTTGGACAATACAGCTTGGCAGAAAATATGATTTTCACTTTTTTTTATTTTACCGAAAACTATGTGGAACAAGTACAGGGTTCATGTTCAGCTGAATGTAAATTAGTATAGTTTAATTTTCAAAGAATAATTTCTGACTATGCTGACAAGATTGATGTAGTGGATTCATCTGGAATCAGCCTGGAGTGGTATTCAGAACAAACTATAACCTTCAACCTAACTTCAGGGCGGTGGGGTAGCCTAGTGGTTAAAGTGTTCGCTCGTCACGCCGAAGGCCCGAGTTCGATTCCCCACATGGGCACAATGTGTGAAGCCCATTTCTGGTGTCCCCCGCCGTGATATTGCTTGAATATTGCTAAAAGCGACGTAAAAATTAACTCACTCACTCACCTAACTTCAGGGGGTGTCACAGAAGTAGGGGGCATGGGGTCATGTGCTTATCATTCAGGGTCTGTTGCTTGTTATCATGTTTATAGTGCTTTGTTGTACTTATCATCATCATCAACTCAGTCAGTCAGTCAGTCCCGATTCCCCATCCCCAATATCAAACGGTCGGTCCTTATTACGCCCGCGAGAATTCCACGCGTAACAAGCAATAATTTGAATAGAATGCTGAAAGTAGTATACGTTAGATAAGCTTTTTTACATACACGACTTGACATTACTTTATAATTCTCTATTATCAATTAAGCTATATACTCACTTCAGCCTCCTCTGGCAATGTTCCCTCATTAGGTACTGCAAATGCACGCACGAGATTGGTAATTTTCTGGAACTGGAAGAAAACACATTCACGCCCTTGGAAGGATTGACAGCACTGTGATCAGTGTAGCTGTTTTCAGCCCCCGTTGCTTGATATACAAGTAGGTAAATGTACACTTTGTAAGGATGTCCCAAATTGATTTGCCAGTCGGCTATGTTAAGTATCCAGTCATGACTAATACGAACAATACCCTGAGAAATCAACGTATTCATTATTCAAACATGTCATATTCAATGCACACTCAGGGTTGAATAGGCAAGTTTAAATTTAGATGTTTCCTTGACATTTAGGGCACTATAGACTATAGCTTGTTCAGCCTGTCAGACTACATTAGAGTTGCTACCGTGGAGATAAGGTCAAAAGTACAGGTGGTGGAAAAGAGAATAAATATTATTGCTTTACAGTTGTTGAAAGGCTTTTATACTCGAATGTGTGGTGCATAACAGTACTTCCTGCTTGACACTGCTGATGAGATTGAGGCTTGAATTGATTGATTGAGTTTAGTTTTACGCCGCATTCAGCAATATTGCATCTATATGGCGGCTGTCTGTAAATAATCGAGTCTGGACCGGACAATCCTGTGATCAACAGCATGAGCATCGATCTACGCAGTTGGGGTACGATGTCATGTGTCAACCAAGTCAGCGAGCCTGACCACCCGATTCCGTTAGTCGCATCTTACGACAAGCATGGGTTACTGAAGATCAGTTCTAACGTAGATTTTCACGGGTAGAATAGATTAGCAACAATGAAACACAACAACAATGTTACCATTACACAGGCACTTCCCGCTTGACAATGGTGATAAGATAGGCTTGAAACAGAACAACAATGTTACCACAGGCACTTCCCGCTTGACGCCAGCTCGGACGACAACGCGTGACGCATGGTTCTATCACTAGAGCGTCATCGCAGTCACCCCAGGGACCACCAAGAGTCCACTTCTAATTCATCAATGAGTGAGTGAGTTGGGGTTTACGCCGCTTTTAGCAATATTCCATCAATATCACGGCGGGGGACACCAGAAAATGGGCTTCACACATTGTACCCATGTGGAATCGAACCCGGGTCTTCGACGTGACGAGCGAACGCTTTAACCACTGAGCTACCCCACCGCCCCGATACATCAATGAATTCCTGTGGTACAAACTAGTGAGTGAGTGAGTTTGGTTTTACGCCGCTTTTAGCAATATTCCAGCAATATCACGGCGGGGGACACCAGAAATGAGCTTCACACAATGTACCCATGTGGGATTCGAACCCGGTCTTTGGCGTGACGAGCCAACGCTTTAACCACTAGGCTAAGAAGCGCGACCAGTCAGAAGCTACTTTACAGGAATCGAATGTATGAAGCCCTTATTCTGGTGTCCCCAACAATGAAATTGCATGAATATTAAAGTGGCGTAAAACTATACTTGCCATTTAGAAAGTGGTCAAATGTAACATATGTTATATCTGGGATTACACTTTCTCAGTAAAGTACAGATTCTAGTACTTTTCTGTAAATGTCACTGTGTATGCATAGCTTTCGGCCGTGGGAGCCGTGCCAATTTACACATATCAGAAGTGTACACAAAGTCCGCAGTGGAGACTACCAGTTGTCCGACTTCCATTTGTGTGGAAGCCGCGGTGGCTGAATACGTTAGACAGTTGACTTTGTGTGCTGGCGATTAGGTGCCTGACTCTGAGGGTGCGAGTTCGAATCCCGTATGGGACTCAGTCCAACAAAAGGACAAGACTCTGTACTTTACTGAGAAAGTGTAATCCCAAACAACATGTGTTTCACTCAAAACAAGCAAATTCTTTTTTAGTCACCACTCAAAGCAATCAAAATAGTCACAACGCATATCAAACACTTTAAACGCCGTTCAAAACGAACACATATTGCCCGGGACAACTCCAATCCCAACAGGTTTGCATGTTAAATGATATCTGATACATACACAGTTTGATTTTTATATATTGAATGGGTTTTGAGTTTTACTCCAGGAAAGGAGATTTCAAGAATATCCTGATTACCAAAATTTAGCATTCGTCTGATGTCCAAACAATTGAAACACACAGTGGCTGTCGGAAGCCATTCCAACACCTGAAGGTGGCCACATATAGTGTGGGTAACATGTTATTCCTGAAAGTACTGTCTTTGGGTTTCCAAACAAAAGATTTTCTATAAACGAATGTATCGTGGGTCTACCTTGTACATCTGCGAAATGGGCAAACCCGAGCATTTCTGTTCTTTCATATAGCACGTACATCTGAGTGAGCGAGTGAATGAGTTTAGTTTTACCCCGCGCTCAGCAATATTCCAGCCATATGGCAGTGGTCGGTATATAATCGAGTCTGGACCAGACAATCCAGTGATCAGCAGCATCGATCTACGCAATTGGGATACGATGACATGTGTCAACCATGTCAGCGAGCCTGACCACCCGATCCCGTTAGTCGCCTCTACGACAAGCATGGATTTACTGAAGATCAATTCTAGCCCGGATCTTCACGGGTCCCTGTATCTGAGGAAAATACCCATATATGACGATGATTTCAGTGTGATACATGATGACATGTCAGTTCAAGAACATGGTATTTAACAGATTGTTCACCAGTACAATGCCAAATCTCGTGATGCAGTGGTGAGGTGAGGTGAGGTGAGGTGGAATTGGGTTTTACGTCGTGCTTGAGAATATTTTGCTCATATGACGACGTGCATGCGTGTGTATGTGTACGTGCGGCTGCTTGTACTAGCCCAGACTGGTTTTATAGTGCTAGCCCACTGAGATACCATGTCGCAGTGAAGCATGAATACCCTACTCAGACACATTATACTGACTCTGAGCCGACCAGTCCTTGTTGTACCCATTAATGTCGAGCGCCAGACAGGGACCAACAAGTACCATATTCTAACGTCTTTTGGTATGACGCTGTCGGGGATCGAACCCCGACCTTCCGCTCTCTGGGCGGACGCTCTAACCACTACACCACGGAGGCGGTCGCACATCTTAAAACTGCATTGAGTGTAAATGATAAGCATCTGATTATATAACCTTTTAAATGAACACTGTTGGCTATTTGTCTCGAATATGTCATGCTTTGAACACATTTCGTGCAAGGCAACTACTAAGCAACGCTTCTTTGGCAGTTTGAAGACTTTTTCTGGTTCAAATGTAAAGAAATTCATTCACAAAATTATCAAAGGAAAAAATCATGTCAAAACAACTTTGCTTCACAAAATTACCAAAGATGCCAACTTTGAGTCCATTATGTCCTTTTCTGTCACATGTTTGAACTACGTTAAAGAATAAACCCTCAATTTAATTACATGACAATCGAAAGTCAGGCGCTAACTGTTCCATACCAAATAAGGGCGTTAGGAGTTAACAATTATGTTTTGAATTCACTTTAATGCAAGGGGACCTGACAGTACATCACAACAAACAACAACGTTTGAATCGTGTTTCATTCATTTACTCGGTAATCCTGTAATCACCATCCATGTTCAAAATGCATTGTTCACACATGTAGTGTAAACTGATCGGACAAGTTCGCAGACCATTATCCCCACCCTGGACTTCATGAGGCTCGCCGTTTGAATGACCGGAGTGACGTCATCACATCTGTCTCTATGAGTAAGTGACCACTTTCCCCATGGTTCAATCTCGCAGTGTGATTTTGCCATGTAAAACAGAAAATACAAGATTTGACTTCTACGGATACAAGATGTGTTCAGACAGATCAAATATTATATTTAACAAATAAATAGATACAGCTTATGGCAACGTTATTATGAATGTCCACATAATTAAAAGATTTCCCTTACAACTGTCTGCAGGTAGTAATTCCGCTTTATGACTCTTTACTGTAACTAACAGCATAAAGAAACCGTTTTGTATTCCAATATGACTGTAACCGTATTCACTTTATACATCGAACTTGCATTGTGATTTATACTACAACAAAAATATCCTATATACCTTTCAAATTAGTCCAAGTGAAAAAGAAAAAAGCACAGCTTTTATCTTTACAAGCAATTTCAGAGAGTAAAACGAAGTGCTATTATTAAAGCGCACGCAAACACGTTCGAGCAAGGTGAGAAAGTAAAACGAAGTGCTATTATTAAAGCGCACTCAAACACGTTCGAGCAAGGTGAGAAAGTAAAACGAAGTGCTATTATTAAAGCGCACTCAAACACGTTCGAGCAAGGTGAGAAAGTAAAACGAAGTGCTATTATTAAAGCGCACTCAAACACGTTCGAGCAAGTGAGAAAGTAAAACGAGCAAGGTGTTCGAGCAAGGTAAGAGTAAAATGAAAAGTAAAACGAAGTGCTATTATTAATGCGCACTCAAACACGTTCGAGCAAAGTAAGAAAGTAAAACGAAGTGCTATTATTAAAGCACGCACTCAAACACGTTCGAGCAAAGTGAGAAAGTAAAACGGTGAGAAAGAAAAGCAAAACGAAGTGCTATTATTAAAGCGCACTCAAACACGTTCGAGCAAGGTGAGAAAGTAAAACGAAGTCCTATTATTAAAGCGCACGCAAACACGTTCGAGCAAGGTAAGAAAATAAAACGAAGTGCTATTAATGCGCACTCAAACACGTTAAAGCGCAGTACTTAGTATTAAAGCGCACTCAAACACGTTCGAGCAAGGTGAGAAAATAAAACGAAGTGCTATTATTAAAGCGCACTCAAACACGTTCGAGCAAGGTGAGAAAGTAAAACGAAGTGCTATTATTAAAGCGCACTCAAACACATCAATTCGAGCAAGGTGAGAAAGTAAAACGAAGTGCTATTATTAAAGCGCACGCAAACACGTTCGAGCAAGGTGAGAAAGTAAAACGAAGTGCTATTATTAAAGCGCACCAAACACGTTCGAGCAAGGTGAGAAAGTAAAACGAAGTGCTATTATAAAAGCGCACTCAAACACGTTCGAGCAAGGTGAGAAAGTAAAACGAAGTGCTTGAATCAAAGCGCACTCAAAAACGTTCGAGCAAGGTAAGAAAGTAAAACGAAGTACTGGCATGAAAGCGCACGCAAACACACGTAAGAGCAAGGCGAGAAAGTACAATGAAGTGCTGGCATCAAAGCGCACGCAAACACACGCGCAGACACAAACGCTCATGGACTTCACTTCACAAACCAAGACATCAACAAAACATCAACACACACAAGATGTCAGGCACTCATCTGTTGTATATTCTATTCCAGATTGGTATTTTATAATTCCAAGGTAAACGCATTGCAGTTGAAGACATGTAATTCGACAGGCTAACCAAGCACTTTATTTAGTGATCATGTTTCCATAACCCCGAGAAACAAACCACGCCTCACAAACAGACTATCGTTCACTGACTGGCTGAGAGTAGAGTGGGCGGTGTTTGCCTTTAAATTAGAGCGCTTTTCGTCGTTTATGCTAATGAAAAATATTATTGATAATTTGCATGAGAATATAATATATCATGCGTTAATGGATAGATTTACTTAAAAACCTGTGCGCACATTTTATGCAGATCCGCTAGATGGATTCATAAGTCGTGCACATATGCCAAAACACTGACGTCATTTGTTCAATAAAACAGGAAAGTGTTTGAATTTTGCGTTATCAACTAATTTCCATAGGATGCACTGCCAGTACTCACAGTCACATTCACAGCTTCTGTTTGAGGACGTCCTTGACCCTATCGTGACCTTGCATAACGCCACCCCCGTCTCTGTATCTGCACAGTAACATTTCAGGTAGCAGGTCATCAATGCTGACGTCACACTGTGAGGCGGCAAAGCTACCGTCAGATGCACGTGCGCACCGGCAGATACGACAGGTTCATCTCGTGAAGCACGGACTTCAGGCGCGAGATATTAGTGAGGGTGCGTAAAAGAGAAATGGAACTGTCTGTGACGTCGGATTCGTTGATGAGCTTGACAGTCGTGCTGAAAAGTTGTTTTTGTCTTTGGCATAGTGTCAGGGTTTCTGGAACAAATTAGATTATAACCTTACGCACAATAAATGATAAAATATAACAATATGCAAATATGTAAGTGTTCACTTAACGTAACCTGCATGGCCCGGTCATGGAACTTCACGACACCGGTGACAAAACAACCTACACTCGGTCCGGTTTAGTAAAGTCACATTTGGCGCTTCAGGCAATTTGGAACCAGGACTGGTTCTGGAATATATACGCTTGTCACCGAAATCTGATACCGGAAGTAAGCTCGGCCCCGTCTTGCATATTGCAAGTTGGGCGCGCGCAAAGAGAGCCGGGAACCAGCTTAGTACTGGAACTAGGTATAATTGGGTATTATTGACTGTTGTTTATTTGATCATTTATTCTGAGAACACAGGAAACGTAAATCGTCTTCTTTATGTCTGAATCAGACAAAACATCCCACGAGACCTAACCGTCCTTACAACGTAACACAACTACGTTTCAAAACATATAGGTTAGGACTTCATGTATGTAGTGATAGATAGCTATTTATCTAATTCTACATTAACCACAGAAATTGCAGCTTTCTTATATACTAGGCACATAAAGAAACTGTGCATACAAAATTTAAAATCTAAATTTATCAAACCTGTGTAGACACATAAGGATTTAAACTCAGAGATTAGTGACATGTATCAACATGCATGCACGTGCCACGTTCCGTGACGTCAGTGGGTTCGTCAGCAGAGACGTGCAATACGTTGTTGCACGTGCATTCCGGGAAAGAGAAACAGAGCAAATGAATGCCACACAATACTGTCACTTTGGAAAGCTCAACCCCTGCCCTTGCGATCGTTCAAAAATTAAACGGCTATTGAAACGCATAGCATGCCAAGGCTCACGTCTGCACAACGTCATGAGGCCATTGGGATGGTCCGTGGGGGAATGTCTCAACGACAAGTGGCTGCACATTTCCACTGCCACCGGAACACCATTTCTGCACTGGTGAGACGCTACCAGAACACAAATGACGTCATCGATCGGCCACGTTCTGGACGTCCACGTGTAACAACGCCAAGACAGGACATATGGATAAGGGTGACCCATCTTCGCCACAGGTTTCAGACTGCAGTGATGACTGCCCGAACCATCAGGACTTCGCCGTATCCACTAACACAGTTCGACAACGTTTACGTCATCACGGGATCAGACCACGACGTCCCGCCATACGGCCTATCCTGACACAACGTCATCGACAAGCTCGCCGAATGTGGTGCCGAAATCATGTCCGCAGACCCTTGTTTTGGTGGAGAAATGTTGTTTTACAGATGAGTCAGGTTTAACATTTCCCATAGTGATGGACGTCAACGTGCCTATAGACGCGTGGGAGAACGTTATGCACAGGCCTGTGTCTTGGAGAGGAATCGCTTTGGTGGTGGTTCCGTGATGATTTGGGGTGGAATAACAGCACGCCAAAGAACTCCTTTGGTGATTGTTCAGGGCAACTTAACTGGTGTGGGCTACAGGGGATCAGATTCTTCGACCTGTGGCAATTCCTTTTCTGCAACGTCATGGCCCTGGGTTAACATTCCAACAGGACAATGCCCGCCCTCATACGGCAAAAGGGTTGCTATGGATTTCTTGCAACACCACAACGTTGACTTACTGCCTTGGCCTGCAAATTCACCGGATCTCTCCCCGATAGAGCATGTTTGGGACGAGATGGATCGACGTCTACGCCGTCTTCCTCATCCGCCAGATAACGTCCTTGACCTTGCAACAGAACTTGAGAGAATCTGGCGTGACATCCCACAAGCCTTCCTTGCACGTTTGATAGGCTCTATGCGTCGTCGATGCACTGCTGTTCTCAATGCCGATGGTGGACATACCCGTTATTGAGCTTGTGACATGGTCGTTTGACCCCTGTCCCGCTTGTGGACTCGTGACGTCATTGTGATTGACTTTTCAATTGAAATTCTCCCGACTTGTTATGGTCTCATGATCCCTCCATTAAAGTTTATATGTACCTTTGACATTGTTATCGTACTTATCAACTGGGATAATATTTTGACAATGCACAGTTTCTTTATGTGGCTAGTATATTTAGAGTATTATAACAAGGACATCAGATCAGCTAAAGTGATTTCAAGTAGAACAGGCATCTCCTTTGTTCGTTGTTTATCGTGTTTGGAAAATATTGCAAATGGATATGGCATTGAGCACCAGGAGGCGCAGGCAGGTCTGGAAAATTGACTGTCGGTGACAGGAGGCGGCTTGGTATTCTTGTTTCAAAACAAACGATGGAGTTGGAGAAAACTTAAGACTGGATATGATGATATAGAGGAATTGTGGCTGCCTGTAAGGAGACAATTAGAACTGAGCTGCATGCAATGGGTTGGCAGAAAAGTCGAGGAATTCCATCACCGATCATGGAAACCTGAACAAAAGTAGCGAAGGTTGAACTGGTGCTTACAGCAGAGAAAATTTTAACTGGGACAATGTGATTTTCTCTAGGATGAAAGTTCTGTGTGGCTGTTTCTAATACACTGACATTCTGGACCAAACAAACTGAAAAACCTTTATTATCAGCGCCCAAAAGGTACAGTCCGACATTGAACGTGTGGGTTGCATATCTTGGTGTTAGGGGCAACGCCCCCTCTGTGTATTTTGAAGGGAATATGAACAGTGAGCGGTACACAGATATTCTCGAGGGACATTTACTTCCATTTGTTAACGTGTTCTATGGACATTTTTGGATTTTCCAGGAGGACAATGACCCAAAACATCGTTCAAAGCATTCACAGGCCTGGTTTCGGACCCCTGGCAATATGACCAAGCTATAGCCCTGACCTAAATCCAATAGAAAATGTTTGGGACTTATGAAGGAAAGTGCTAATAAGAAAATCTGACCAAAATATTGCTGGAAATGAAAGAAGAGGTGGTCCGATATTGGGACAGCATCGACCACGACTTTCTAACTTTGATCAGTAGTATGCCCCACCGCATTGAAGCCTGCATTGCTGCCCATGGTGACTTGACAAAATACTAACTGTTCACCTGTCTTTGAATCTGGAGTTATGTTCTGCTAATATTCACATTCAATACGTGAGTAATGAGTGAAAATAAAAGATTTACAATCTTTTAAAATTCTCAATAATTTCTGGTTGTACTGTAAATGCTATAATTCAGGTTATAAAATACCTTATTTTTAATCGTATTCCAAACAAAGACTTTTGAGTCTTGAGGTTGTCCAGCAAGAGTTGACAAACTACTATGATATTACTAAAGCAATAGCGTTTTCAACTTATTGATTAAAATAAATTTGTTAAGTTTTGGTCCAGCTGATGTCACTGTTTATTTATTGACACTGCTTGTGAATGACGTAACCATTCACTTTTATGCCAAATCAACTTGTCATATACATTGTTTAACCGCAATTGTATCTCACGTTTATTTTTGTAATCATTATTGATCTGTAATGAAGTCGATGTATGATATGAGGTACGAAAACAAGTGGAATAAAAAAAAATCGAAAGTAAAAAAGTCCTGGTGATAACAACAATGGCTATAACATTCATAATCAAGCTAGCATTCAACGTTGGTTCTCTAGCCAATTACCTTGTCAACGTTGTGATGGTTGCACCTTTTGCAGTTCAGAGAAAAAATCATATTTTGAATATCATAGCGTCAAACCATGGTTCGTCCAAAGAGCACATTGAAGAAGCAACAAGCATACTGTGTCTACGTGTGTTAACGCAGGCATACCTACTGAACCCTCTCAGACAGGACAACGCAGTGTTAACACTGAGCATACCCTACTGAACAGTCTCAGACATGACAACACACTTACTGTGTGTTGTTAACGCGAGCATACCTACTGAACCCTCTCAGACGGGTCATCACACCTACTGTGTTGTGTTAACGCAGGCATACCTACTGAACCGTCTCAGATATGACATCACACTTACTGTGTGTTGACGCGAGCATACTTACTGAACAGTCTCAGACATGACATCCTGCACTGTGTGTTAACGCAGGCAAACCTACTGAACGGTCTCAGACATGAATCACACTTACTGTGTGTGTTAGCATGCAGGCATACCCTGCTGAACGGTCTCAGACATGACATCACACACTTATTGTGTTAACGAGGGGAAACCTCCTGAACGGTCTCACATTATGAATCACACTTACGTGTGTTAACGCGAGCAAACCTACTGAACTCTCTCAGACTGTGACGGCGACACTTACTGTTGTGTGTTAACGGAGCATACTTTTACTGAAGGTGTCAAACATGACATGACACTTATTGTGTGTTAACGCAGGCATACCTACTGAACAAGTCTCGAGACAGGACAACACAGTGTTGATGTAGGCATACCTACTGAACAGTCTCAGAACCAGGACAACACGGTGTTGATGTAGGCATACCTGCTGAACAGTCTCAGACATGAATCACGCACTGTGGTTCGTATGGCGTAGGCTAATGCCACCATCAACTGCTGTGTTGTCTGTCTGCTTTTCGGCTGGGCTGTACCATCAACACTATTGATCCTGATCTTCGAACTGGTATACCTGCGGTCAACGTAAGTGTCATCGTATGTTTGACGCTCTTCGGCAATCTCTCCACGCAGTGAAGATGTCATGTCATGTCTTAATGTCTGAATTCGATGCTTTTACACGTGAAGATGTGATGTCATGTCTGGTGAAGTATGCCTGCGTTAACACGTGAGGCGTGATTCGCTCAATCGCGAACTGTTCAAAACAGGTTTGCCCTGCGTTAATCAATGATGTCGTGATG